ATACGTGTGCATGCCTGAGTGCAGACATGAGTGTGCGTGCGTGAGTGCATACGTGTGCATGCCTGAGTGCAGATATGTTATGAGTGTGCGTGCATGAGTGCATACGTGTGCACGTGTGTACAGGTGAGTACACGTGTGTGCTTACGCGTGTCAGTGGGGAGGCTGTGGCTCAGAGGTGGGGACTCCCTGGGAGGACCCTGGCTGTGGCAGAAACAGCCTCCAGTGTACAGCCACGTGTCCATCTGTCGAGCACGCAGCCGCACTCAGCCCGGATGCCAGGCTGGCCCAGGCCCTGCTCCGTGCTGACCCCTCCCTCGCCAGCCCCCCAGCCCCCCGCAGTGCCGGTCAGGCCTCCCAGGGCACCCAGGGCCTGGCCTGGGGAAGGGAGCCGGAGAGCCTCGGGAGCCTAACTGCGGGACGTTCTTACTGGTTTTGCCTGAGCGTGCGGCATCTGGAGATGGCCTCTGCCTCCTGGAGCACGGCCTCCCCCGCCTGCCATGGCCGCCATGCCACAGCCTGGGAGGCGGGGCACGCACCGGCCGGGGCCTGCGGCGGAAGGCCGAGGCGTCTGGGCCCGGCCCCTGCTGTCCCAACACCCCCTCCTTGAAGCCAGGCCCTGGCTCCCCAAGCAAAGCGGGGCTCGTCCTGGAGGAAGCCCCCAAGGCTTGGCTGTCCTGGGGCCATCCCAGGCTGGGACGCAGGCCCTGAACCCCAGGCCCAGTGGGCTCTGCCCTCCAGCTCATCCTCGAGGACATAGCATGTGGGGTGTCCAGCAGGGTGGGGGTGGCACCAGTCGCCTGGCCACAGGGCGCTGACAAGCGTGCTCTCTACCGCGCCTGAGGGTCAGGAGCTCGCCACTGTGGGAGGCCCCAGCCCAGGGCAGGGCCGCTCTGGCGGGTGCGGGACCCCTGCAAGTGGCTTCTGCGTTCCCGGCGTGTGTGCGTGGGCCTCTGATCACGACCCAGGGAGGCTGTGGACAAATGCCGGAGGCTTCTGTGTCCCACGCTGTGTACGGACGCTGTGTGGAGTCTGCTCGGGAGCCACCGGCCCAAGAGCACACAGCCAAGGCCTCGACGAGCCGCCTGTGGACCCAGACACGCACAATGTGGATGGGAGAGAGCCCACGGCGGGTCCCTGCTGCGCAGAGAGGGGGGCGGGCGGGGCAGGCAGGCGGCGGGCCATGCCTGGAGGGGCCTGCTGGGGGTGGGCAGGGGCTCTGCTGTGGGCTGGAGCTCCCGCAGGACTCGGCTCCCCACATGGAGACCGTGCTGGTTTCCTGAGAACCACCACAAACATAGCGGGTTCAAACACCCCCATTTGTGACCTCACAGTAGCTCAGGCGTGTGGGCGCAGCCGAGCTGGGTCCTTGGCTCATGAACAGCCGTGACTGAGGTGTCCACCGGGCACGGACTCCCCTGGACCTCAGGCCCTTCTAAGCTGCCTGGTGGCTGAATTCCGGGGGCGGCAGTGGACATCTGCTGCTTCTAGTCTCTGAGCTCAGGGACAGAAGGCCCACGCCCTCTTCAGCCCTAATCGGTTGGCACCTGTAAAGGAGGGCCGCAGGGGCTCCCCAGTTAGGCCCAGCTCACCCAGGCCAATCTCCCTTCTGATTGACTCAGGCAGCCGGTTAGGGACCTCAAGCACATCTGTGAAGCTCCTTCACCTTAGCCATATATGCAGGGCATCCATCATATTCACAGACCCCCTACTTGGGCATGGGGGTCATATGGGGTGTGCACACCAGGGATCTGGGACCTTGGGGCCACCTGAGAATCCCACAGACAGCAAGCCCCGGCCTTACTTGCAGGAAAGCGTGTGCTGAGGTGGTTCTCAGAACAGCGTGGGGGTGTGAGGCCAAAGACGGGCCTCGGGAGCGTGGCTGCGGAAAGGGGTGCTGGAGGCCCCAGGATGTGGTGAACCAGGGAGCAAGCGTTACTCTTTGGCTGCCTGTGGCTGGGGCAGGGTCCTGGGAGCGGCCAGTGGGGTCTGCTGCAGAGTGGGGCACTGGGCAGGTGTCTACACGGTCCAGAAAGCAGAGCAGTAATCCCATCTGCCTTGTGAAGCAGCCCTGTCCCCACGGCTCCCCAGCCCCTATTCAGCACCCCTGGGCCGAGGCTGGCCTGCTGGGAAGCAGGGGGAGCAGCTGAACCCAGAGCCAGCTTTCCACCCGGACGGCTGACCCCAAGGCACGGGGCGGCCCTGGAGGGCAGCTCCCTGAAGCCACCGTCCCTCGTGTGGAGGAGGATGTGGCCCACGGGGCAAACTGGCCCCCTGCCCCTGGGCCTGCTGGCTGCCGGAGGCTCTGGGATGCAGGCGACCACAAATGCATCCTTCTGTCCCATCATCCCTGCATCCCGGGCCACTGTGTGCAGACTATCTCAGCCCTGGAGAATACAGGTCCTTCTGCAAGCTTTCTGGGCAACGAAGCCTGTGAGTAAATCTTACCGGGGTACCAGGACCCTGAGAAGCATCCGCCAAAGCAGGAGTCCTCAGTGTCTGGCAGATTGAACATGTTTCGACAATTCTGCTGCTGACAGGGCTCGGGGGAGCGCTGGAGAGCATTTCTGGGAAATCGCCCAGAGGCTCGTGCTCATGGCAGGACTTCAGGAGCACGTCTCTGGAGGGCCTGCATGCAGGGAGGGGGTGGGCAGTAGCAGGCATCGGGGCGCCGTCCCAGGCCCCTGACAAGGCCCCCCCGCTGAGCTCAGTCAGCCGGCCCACTGAGGACGCTCACCACGGGGACCCCCAGCTGTCGGGCACATGGGCAGGTGTAGTGAACCTGTCCGGTTTTCCTACTTGAGGACATCTGGAAGGGGGTGATGTGGACGCTACATCATCAGTCGGGCTAGCGTTCACAGGTTTCCCCCCACCCCGCCAGCCCCTGGGAAGGGGAGGGCGCAGGTGGGCTCCCTGGGTGAGAACCACGGCCACCGGCCTCCCGAGTGTGCCGCCATGATGGGCAGCTCAGCCCTTCACGCACAAGCAGTATTTCTTCCTCACACGAAACTCGACAGCCCTGCAGGACTTGAACGGCCGACTTCCCAGGGAGCGGCTAAGATCCAGCTACGTGATGTGGGGACAGAGCACCCAGCAAGTGCGGGGTCCCGTGTGCCCATGCTGGTCACGGCCTGGCCGAGTGCACACTAGAAATGCAGGGGTGCGGGCGGCGCGGGCCAGCAAACAAGTCCCTTCGTGGGACGTGGATGCCCAGCTCCGCTTGCCCTTGGCGAGGCCACCGTGGGCGTCCACTCCCGGCCGGGGCAGCGCTCCCTCAGCTGCACAGAACTCCTCAGATGCATGCTGGCAGCACGCTAGGCCAGCTCGGGCTGTCCCCGGGCCCCAGCAGGGCCCCCCAAAACCCCGGGCTCCCCAGGGCAGCCCTGGAGCCCATGTGTCTGTTCGTGGAGAATGCCGGCAGCAAAGACCCCTGGTCTCTTCTCGAAGCGCATCTCCCCCCGAGCTCAGAGCTCCCCGGCCGCCGGGTGGGAGCAGAGCCGTGGGGTGCTCAGGGCCCAGCCAGCCTGGTGGCCAATCCAAGGTCCCTAACTGGGGTGCACCAGGTGACGGCACAGGTGGGAAGTCAGTGTGAGCCCCGCCAGGTGGGTGGGGAAGGGAGAGTGTTCTCAATTTAACACAAGCACCCCCAGCTTGCTCTCAGACGCTTTATTGAGAGTCCAACGCCCGTCCCCACATACAGCGGAAAGCGCACACATGGCCGGGCGGCCACCCCTCACAGACGCCCCCACGCGGCGACGCCTCGCTCTGCCACTCAGTTCCTGGAGAACCACAGATGCCCCAGAGAGCAGCCACCTGCCCGGGCCCGGCACCCAGCGCCCAGCAGCCCCCCTGGGCCCCGGGCTGTTTGAAACTCGCTGGCCCGAGTGCAGCCTCTCTTTGAGGGCAGCACTGTCTGCCGGGCATGGCCGTCCCGCCTGGATTCTTGCAGACGGCGCAGGAGTCACCCCTCTGCTAGCATGACGCACACGACACAGATGTGGGTCCCCATCTACCGGAGCGGGGGCGAGGCAACCCCACTCCCGTCCCGGCCGCAGCAGCACCAGTAAGACCCGCTACCGGCTCAGAGGCCACGGCGCTCCCCGGCCCAGGGAGGCATCCTCAGCTGCTGGGGGGCACTACCATCAGGGCAAGGCCTGCGGCTCTCCCTGGGGTGTCCTCCCCCACCCCGGGCCTCTCCCACCCGTCCGCACAAACCCCTGGCCCTGCGGGCTCTCAAAAAGGCAGAGAGAAAAGGAAGGTGCGTTCTCCAGCCCTGCCCCCACCCTACCAGCCGCAAGACACGCCCTGGTGGCGGCCAGCATCAGCAGCTTGCTGATGCCAGGCCACTCTAAGGACTGCACCATTCTGGAAGCTGGCCATGGCGGACAGAGTCTATTCCACAACTGGGGCAGAGAACTGACAGGAGAAACGCGCGTGAGCAATGGCCCTCACCTTCAAAACAACGTCAAGGTCACGTCTGTCCCCTAGGAAATGCCTGCTTCCAGATCGGACTTTGGTAAGATATTTATTAGGAACAGTGGCAGCCATGCCCCCCTCAGGAAGAGCCAAGTCCAGGTGGGCCCCCCACGCAGGCCGGCGTGCACCTGGCCCCCGGGCAGGGAGGGCACCCGGCACAGTGCCTTACGCCCTTCCTGCTCTCGCTGGGGCGCCATCCACACCGAGGGCTTGGCTTCCCCAGGCAGGCCTGAGCTTCCTGGGACACAGCCCGCATGCTGGGACTCAGCTGGGGTCCAGTAGGGGCCGTGGCCACGGAAGGGACCCCACGTCTCCCAGGTGCTTGAGCCCGGGGTTGCGGGAGGAAGGCGTGGCAGCTCGGGTTTCCGACTGACGGTCACTCCATGTCCTCCTGCAGGTGCTGCTTGTGCAGGGCCTGGAGCCGGCTGGCCACGGTCTGGTGCACGGTCTCCAGCCCCTCGGGGTCCAGCTCCCTCAGGAGCAGCAGGACGGCGGTCAGCACATTGTTCTGGGGGCACAGAGTCACCGCTGAGTGCCCCCACCCGGACACGGACATCGCGGGTGAGCGGCCTTCCAGGCAACCCCGGGCAGAGCACAGAGACTCAGGCAGACGAGCGGCATCGCCTGCAGGGACTGCCCAGAGAGGCCAAGCAATGGGCCCTCGGTCACACAGCCAGCCACACAGCAGGGGTCAGAAGGGGCTGAGTGGCCAGCACAGCGCTCAGGAACGTGTGATCTCTCACACACACACATGTGCTTATGTGTGTCATGCATGTGCGTGTGGTTTCTACCCACACCGGAGCAAGAGAGGATTCTGCACACGGGGGCTACTCGAGCTGGCTCTTCCCGTGAGGTGACAGGAGAGCTGGGTGTGAGCAGGGGCACACGGCAGCAACGTGACAGCCGCTCAGAGGGTCACACTGGGGCTCGGCAACAGAGCCCCTGCCCACCCCATGGCGCTAACCCCTGACCTCAGCCATCCTCGGGGGTCCTGCTCCCCCCACAGCCCTACACCGGTGCGGTCTCCCTGGCCATCTGCATCCCCCCACTCAGGCTTGCAGGACCTTCCGTGAGAGGACGAGCCACTTCCACATTCAAAGTAGAGCCAGGGCCTTCCTTTCTGTCCCCGGAAGCGGCTCTGCCTGCTCCAGGGGGTTTGATGATTTTCAGCCTGCATATATGGAATGCACCGAGCTCATCAGTGATTCAGTCTTGGGGCGACCCCTGCCCCCCACCGCCCCGTGCTCTGCAGAGGCCTGGGCGTGGGGAGGAGGGAGCTTTGCGCCTTGCCCTGCCTGCAGAGGCTGACCCGCTGCGGGGCCGTGTAGGGGGGCTACACACGTGCACGGACCGTGCAGAGGATGGCGACCTGTGCAGCGAAGGGGCCACAGGCCCAGTGGCTGTTGCCTACCCTGGCCTGCAGCCTGCAGTCACTTCTGTCAGCAGCTCTGGGGGGACACTTTTCCCAGAGTGCAGGCCGGCCCCTCCCAAGGACAGGGCCTCTGTCCATCCCCCTCTGTGCCTCCCACAAGCTTTCAAGTTCCTCAAGGGGGTGCTGGCAGCCCCCAGCCCCGACTGCGGAGTCCCTCTAGTGCGAGTCTCGCTGGTCCCATGGCTCTGGCTGGACCCTGCAGCCGGGAGTTGGGAGCAGGCGCTGCGGGTCACAGGCCTCCCTCAGACTCCGGCTCTGCTCAGGCAGCACCCCTCCCGCATGACCAGGAGGCAAGGTCCCCACTGGGCCAAGCTAACGGTGGTGACCCCGTTCTTCTGGCCAATGACGCTCACACTCAGGATGTGAGCAATTCCATTTGATGAAGCCAGCCCTGCTGGGTTGGTGGGGGGGGCCACAGGGAAGCCGCGCTTTCTGTCCCATGAGGACACACATGGGAAGACATGGCCCTTGTCCCCCTGGGTGTGAGCCTGGATCAGATGGCCAGCCCACTGACCAGAAGGGGAACAAGCCCCAGGACAGACCAGAATGACAAGAAGGCAGACGCTTGGAAAGGTCCAGCATCGTCGATGGAAGCGCCCACATGACCCGCTTCTTGAGCCTATCACTCCTTAGGGACCATCAGGAGCCATGGTGCCCCGGAAGCCGCCCCGCCAGGACAGGGAGGCCTCCCCGAGAGCAGCACCCCCTGCAGCGTCAGGTGCTGCCCTCCCAGCCCCAGGCCAGACGTGGGGCGGACCCAAGCTGCCTGCAGGCTGGTTTGGGGTCTCCTCTCCCAGGGTTGCCACTTCTCTGCTGGCAGTCGCCCCCTCTAGGGTGCCACTTCCAGTTCAGCTCAGAGCCAGCTTCCCCCCCCTGGGGCCTAGCTCGGTGCACCCTGGGTGTCTGCAGCCTGTCCAGCTGCAACCCCCCATTCTGGGCGGTGGGAGTGGCGGCCGCCTCCAGCCAGGGCTGTCCCCATCATGCTCACCCTGTTCTTGCGACTGCTCGCGGCGTCCCTCTGTGAGAAGGAAGGAAACCGGTCTCGGGACGGCGGCTTCAGGCTGAGCTGGCTCTGGATGCTGCGGGTAGGAGAGGGAGCATGGGGCTGTGAGGCCTGACCTGCTCGGGGCCCCGTTTCCAACCCCAGGGCCTTGGAGCACAGCGAGGAAGGAGAACTGCCACTTGGTGACGTTGCTTCTGGAGGGACGGAGCACTGCACGGGCGGGTGGGATGAAGGATTTGTGGCCTAGCATATATCTCTCTGGGCCCCTGGGGGCCCCTCGCCACATCTGGGCTCCCACCAGGGTTGGGGGCACTGAAGACACAAATGGGAACACAGAGCAGTGGGCAGCACGCAGGTGGCCTCCTGCGCTGGCGGGAAACAGGACGGTGGGCCTGGCTGCCAAGTGGACGCAGCCTGAGCCCCACTGGGCTCGACTGTTTCTACATTCCCCGTGCTCCGCGGCTGCTCAGAAACAGCCTGCCCCCAGAGGCTGCTTCAGGCCCATCTCCGGTGCTGCGGTCAGGGAGGGCCCCCCTCGGGGCTGCTCAGCCCTCCCACCCCACGGCAGCTCAGGTGGCTTCCCTCGGGGGGACCGCAGTGCTGGGCCACGTGGTGCCCACAGGCCCCTGGCCCACGTCCCCCACCCACCTCCAGGCGGCTCCAGCTGCGAGGGTGGCCCCGTACCCACACAAGCCCCGGGCCCCGAGCCTTCCAGACGCACAGCTGCGAGCAGGCTGGGGGGCGACTGAGAGCCACAGACGGCAAGGAACCACCGCAGGCAGCTCCCTTCCCTCCCTCCCCAGAGAGGCCCACCACTCCACAGGAGGACCCAGGGCCAGGCCCACCGCCCCCACCAGCTCACCTCGTCTCCTCCTGGCCACAGCCCAGCGTGTCCTGCCGGGTCTCAGCAGTGGTGTCCGTGGCGCTCAGGGCGTAGGACAGCGCAGGCCCACCGCCGTTCCCCGTGCCCTGTCCGCTGGGGGCCGTGACCTCCTCCCCCTCCATCAGCGCACGGGACAGCTCCTCCTCGGTCACGGCTTCGGAGTCGGGGGGACAAGAGCATCAGAGCGGACTCGCCCCCACAGAAGCCCCCGGGCCGCAGCACAGTCTGCCGTAGACAGGAGGCATGCTTCTCCGCCCCACTGGCCGGCCCCCCGAGAGCAGGGCCGGGGCCTGTCACCTCCCTGTCCCGGCCCGTGCTGGACATGAATCTCAATTCCAGCCCCCGCTACAAGCAAGTGTTCATCAAAAGCCAAATTAAGGTCAGCATTAAAAAGGAACAGAGTACACAGTATGAGTCCGTTTCACTGCCACGTGGCTTAATTTCTCTGCGCTGACTTACATGACACTTGTTTTCTGGGGGAAAGAACTGTGCACGCGTGCCCAGGGCCAGGGAGGGCCCCCGGGGAACGGGTGGGGAAGGAGCGGGTCAGCGCCACAGGGAGGCCCCTCGGGCCGCCAGCAGGAAGAGGCAAGCGGCGGGGGACCAGTGCTGGGGGGCGGGGGCCACGGGCGCGCCCTCACCTGCCGCAGGGCCCCAGGGGCCAGCATGGACGCGGCCAGCCCGCTGGGACCCTGTCTCTCGCTCGCCAGGCCACTCGGATAAGTGGCTGGATCAGAGCTCTGAGCAGGAACAAGGCAGCAGAGGCAACGGCGTGCCCAGGCAGGAGGGGGGTGAAGCGTGCGTGAGCCCACCTGCGAGCCCGCGCTCCGTGTGGGGCCGCACCCAGGGGGTCGGACCCGCTCACACTTGCGAAACGAGGAGCAGCGGCCTGGGGGACTCCCCCCGAGACCACAGGGAGGGGGCCCCTGCCGCGTCTGGAAGGATCGGGAACGTGCAGGCCCCGGGCGGTCCGGACACCCACCCTGGTTGTCCAGCTTCTGCAGGTGGGGCAGGTTGCGCAGGACGGTCATGCGGTAGCGGTGGGGGTCGGGACCGCAGCAAGGGTTCTCCGCCAGCCAGAGCACGCGCAGGCGGGGCAGGCCCTTCAGGTAGAAAAGCTCCGCCAGGCTGGGGATGCGGTTCTTCCGCAGGTAGAGCTCGCTCAGCTGCTGGCACTGGCTCACGGGCTCCAGGGTGGAGACGCTGTTGACACTGCATGGGGACGGCACGGTTAGCACCCCGCTCGCGGAGGGCGGCGCCCCTCCACGCCACTCCTCTCGGGTCCGCTGCAAACACCAGGCGAGAGCGCCCCCGGGTCGGGCCCATCTGCCCTCGCCTTGGAAGGAGGTCAGAAGCGGACAGCGTGAGTCATGTTCAACAAACACCCCGGACCCAGAAGAAAGCGTAAGGACAGATGAGCAGCAGTAAGCAACGCCCTGGCCTCCTGCTCGGTGCAGGCCTCATGGAGTCAGCTGGGGGGCCGGAGGTCTCACTTTCCCTCACAGGACAGGAAACCGGCCACCAAGGAACGTCTCTGTGCCCCAAAGTAGGCAGCGGCGACAAAAACCCACAGCAAACACAAGCAAGCTCCGCGGGACACAGAACCGAGCGCCCAACTTCCCAAATCCCACGCCTAAGGAAGAAACAGAGTTTGTGGGTTTACATTTTGTTTCTCAGAGTTGCGAACATATCAGGGACAGAAAATCATCCAGGCCTCTAGGCAGAGACCCTACAGGCTTGCACGGACACAAGCAGAAACCTTCCCACCTCCGCAAGCGCAGATGGCCCGCGAACGCGCGCTCGGCTCGAGGGCAGGCGCCCAGGACTGTGAGCCTGGCGGGAGCTCCGTGCAGGCCGGGACAGTGCTCTTCCGCAGCCCTGGGGCCGCTGCCGCTCCCTGCATGTGGAGGGCACAGGTGGGGCCACTCCAAGCGACCCTGCCCCAAGGGCCAGACCTATCTAGAACATTCTTTGCTGGAGGCTGCACTGGTGTGGGCAGTGGCGGCCCCACTTACTAACGGGGTTGCCAGCATGGAGCGCTGCGCTCAGCATACGGCCTGCCTCACTTGAGAGCCAGGGGTGCGGCGGACGCCCCTGCGCCCCGAGCAGGACTCAGGCTTTGCCATCTCCAAGTCTGAGAAAGCTGTCCGAGGCACAGGCCGGGGTGCAACGTGAAGATCCGAGCCTGTACCCCGGCTTGCCGTCCAACGGGACCACTGGGCTAACTGTGGTATTGAGCATTCGTGCCCCCCAAACTCCTATGCTGAAACCTAACCCCTAAGGTGATGGGGTTCAGAGGGGACCGGTGCCCTCATAAAGGAGCCCCCTGAGCCCCCTTCCCCCTCCGCCACGCGAGGACCCAGCTAGAAGAGGGCCTCCCCAGACACTGAAATGCCAACACCTTCACCTTGGACTTGCAGCTCCAGAGGCTCGACACACAATGTCTATCATCCGCAAGCCGCCCGGTCTACGGGATTCTGTTCCAGCAGCCAGAACAGACTAGACAGCCGCCTCCACGCGAGGCTCTGAGACCAGAGGGAAGTGACTGCACCCAGGAGAGGACGTGCACCCTGCGTTCACGCAGCGATTTACACTCGGGTTCCAATGCAGCCAGCCGCGCAGACCGGGCACCTGAGCTCAGTCAACAACCCTGGGCCTCCCGTCCTTTCTCCGAGCTGTGAGCATGACAGATCCTGCAGCTCAGGGAGGCCCAGCAACTTGCCCCAAATCACTCCAGGCAGGGTAGAGCTAGGGTTCGAGCCACACCTATTTTCAGGAATGAAAGGCAATCCATTCAATCATCAGGGAAGGCTCTCGGGGCTCAAATCTTGGCCTCACCGATACCAAGTCAGTGACACAGACAGCTGGAGTGTGCACGCTTGCCAAGCACTCTGTTTTCCTGCCTGCACCCACTCCTCACTGCCCCCACGTGGGCAGACGCCGGTATTAGGTCCATGTTACAGAGAGGGAAACTGAGGCCCAGAGATCTGAGCCTCACCCGAAGTGGGAGAGCCAGCATCTGGCAAGCAGTGGCGACTCCCAGGCTCCCTCCCCGGGTCCCCAGGGGGCAGGAGGGAGTGCAGGGGCAGAGGACAACGCTCCCTCCCCCGACCCTCCAAACGGCTCAACTGCCAGAAAATTCCAGCGGCCACATTTGATTCGTCCACGGCTTCCCTAGTCTGTTAAGATGCCAATGCCCCCGGAAGAGGTGGCTATCAAAATGAGAGAGCATGTGACACAGGGACACCGGCAGAGCTCCTGGCGGCACCAGAACCAGACGGCAGAAACGGTGGGGGCGCTGGGGGCAGACGTGACGGCTCATCGTGTGGGCTGGGGGCTGTGCCCACGACCATGGGGAGGGCGGGCAAGGACCCAGCAGCGTGCTCGAGGGGGACGGGCAGGCAGAGCTCGGAGGGGCCCTGTGCTGCCCGGCTGCCCCGCCCACAGAAGCGGCCATCCCAGGCACACTCTCGTTGGGAGTTTTCAGGTTATCTAAGGGCATGTGAAGATTCTCCTCTTCTTTCGAGCCCCGTGACTCAGAGCACAGCAGGCGTGTAGGTACCTGAGGGTGATCACCTCCAGGCTGGGCATCTCCCGGCAGATGGAGACCTAGGAAGGAAAGGAAGCTGATGGGGCAACACCGCCGGGCACTCCCCGCGAGCCCAGCACAGACCCGTGGTGCGCCACTCAGAGCCACGCCTGGGCTCACTGGGACTGGCACACGAGATGCAAGAGCGCGCAGGCTCTGCATCATACTCCGTGTACCGCATCGTCCTCGGCTTCCCTACATCCAAAGGAGAAACACTCTCTCTCGCCGCCATCAAACGCGGCCACAATCCCTACCCTTCGATGCCCGCAGAAGACATCAGTTAAGGGGACCTCTGTGGCCCCTACGCTGGACAGAGAACCTCTGTCTTGCTGTCCCTGAGGCACAAGGAGAGGGCTTGGCCAACAGAGCTGGGCCAAAAGGGAGACAGGATTGAGACTGGATCTCATGCCATTTTAATACTGTCAATTCAGGGCAAAAGAGCAGCAGGGTGCTCGGCTTGGTCCACAACGGCCCCCTAACCTGTGAGGCCGATGGGCGGGGCAGTCCTCAAGTGTCTTTGCACCTGCCATGCACGAGGCACCGAGCCAGATGACACCCTTGACCTCAACAGGCTCACGGTCTGCTTAGAATGCTTCACATGTGCAGTGGATTTGTTTTCTGCTACGGTGGTATTTTTGTTTTTTTAGGGTTGTTTTTGGGTGCTTGGATATGCTGCATTTCAGTTATAGCGTGAGGTGGACTCAGCTTTTCTGGATAGCCCACTGTCTCAGCAGCATTTCTGACTCTGTTTTCAAGGAAAGGTACAGTTCAAGTGACAAAACTAAGTAAGAAAGAAAAGACAGGTACACGATCCCTGTGTAAGTCAGGGACATTCATTCTAGGAGAGAGAGAAAGGGAAAGAAATCTGTTCACAGACCCACAGATCAGCTCAGGGCACTGCTCCCTGACCCCCAGCTTGGGCCCCATCCCGTCCTGCCATGGCCTGGAGTGGGTAGCACAACACTGGATCCCACCAAGAGCAGGAGCTGAAGTGAGCAACCTCCTCAGTGACTCACAGCCCAGGAACCCATGAAAAAAGCCTCCAGGCAGAGTGCATGTCTGAAGTAAAGCAAGCCCTCTGACATTCATCCCCAGCCGAACTTTGGATCTGCTCCCTCCTCCGTGAGACCTGGGACATGGAGACTTCCATCGACAGGAGAACACTTAAAGGAACTTCAAAATAAAGCTGGGCACTTGGAACACCTCTTTCCTTAGTCGTTCCACATTACGAAAACTGCTAAATGAACCAAGTACCAGATTAGGGGCTGAATTGAATGTGTGCAGTTATGTAAATTCAGCGATCCTCTTGGGGGACAGGATACAACTTTTGGGATCAGAGAGCATTTGGAGATGATCAGCAGAATACTTACATCTGTGAGGCGGCTGCCCCTAGGGAAAAAAAAAAGACATACATACTTTAATTTTGGTAAAGTTGAGTAAAAAAATATTAGAAACAAAAATTCCAAAAATTAATAACAAAGTCTACAAGCTAAAATTCTATGATGTCAGCAACAAAGTCAGGGACAGCCTGTCCAGATGACTGACAAAGGTGTCAAAACCTGTTGCGGGGCTATTTGCAACAAAACTCTCTATGCTCGGTGCTTGAGGGGCGCTTCTCAGACTGAGGAGCAGGAGAGCCGCCGCACTTGGAGGACACAAAGATCCATTCATTCTCCAGGCTGTGGCACGGCAGGACAATGTCCCTCACTGATGTCAGTAAACAAGCAAGTCCTTGTCAGGGGCCCAGTTCAAAGGCTGTGGAACATGCAGCTCATGAAACAAACGCTGGAGAGCCGGAATCAGGGCCCTTGTCTCCCCCAGACAAAGCCTGGCCACCTCATGCAAAACAAAGCAGGGCGTTATTGGGAACAAGAGACAGGGCCGAACGTCATTAAGTGCCACAGGCAGAGCTCACTGCAGTCAGTCTGCGACACTTCCCAGGAGGAAGGCGGACTGGGGGCTGAGTTCCTCCCGCCCCAGCTCCACTGCCCAGTGTGTACAGGGGTGCACGAAGCCTCGCCGTAGATCTTTCAGGAGTTCCTGAAGTGCGTCTGTCCTTCCTTGGCCCAGCCAGACCTGGCCACCCCACCTTGGAGCCTGCACTGACCCCACAGCTCCTGTATCCTGTCCTGTCCCCTCCCAGACAGGCACCTGGGGACAGCCCCTCCCAACAGGACTCAGTTACAGAAATGTTTCCTGAATCGTTACTCTGGAGCCTCAGCTCTCTATCTTTCCCACTAGGAACGTGTTAATCCCCTCCGTCTCCCACCTTATTAGTCGACTTGGCTCCCAATGACCCACAATGTCAGAAAACAGACCCTTCCCGAAGGGAACTGTTTGCCCCACTAATGCTATCTAGAAGGCCGACAAGACTTGAAGGCAATTCCAATTGTTTCGAGCAAAGCTAGCATGTTTGGAGCCTGCGTCTGAAACACCACAACCCAGAGGGGGTAAAAATTCTGGAAGGATCTTTGGCAATGGCCACCTGGGCTTGTGGCAGTTCCTCCCGCAGGCTGTGGGGCCCTGGCACCTGCTCCCTTCCACCCCGGACCACCCTGTGGCTCCTCCGCAGGCCCTTCCCGCCCCGGCCAGAGCGGAGGTGCGGGTCCGGGGCCGCTCCGCCCGGGCGCGGGTGCTGGGCAGCGGGGGGACGCGCGGGGACGGCCCCAGCCTCTGGGTCCTCACCAGCAGTTGAGCTTCCGCACGCTGTGCAGCTCCGAGGCCTTGGCCCGGGACAGGACCATCTTCCGAGTCAGCTTCATGGCGGAGGGCCGCCGGGAACCCAAACCCCGGCCCGGCCCTTCCCCGGACCCACCGCCCGCTAGCCGGGAGGGTCTCGGCTCCGCGGCTGCCGTCTCCAGGGGGCGGGGCCCCCGTCGTCAGGGGCGGGTCCTGCGAGCCCATTGGTCATCCCGTGAGGGGGCGGAGCGGCGCGAGCGCAGTGAGGCCACCCAACTTGTGCTCAGGCGTTGGCTCCGCCCCGGCCCGCCCCGCCCCGCCCCTCGGGCTGTGCGCCCGGCCCGGCGCATGTGCGGCTTGGAGAGGCGGCCTCTGACGTAGTTCTGCTGCGACCGGGTGAGGACCTTCTTCGTGACCGAGCTCCAAGCCCCCGAACCCCAGAGTCCCCGAGGTCCCCAGCCCGGAGCCCCCGAGCCCTCGAGCCCTCGAATCCTCAAACCCCCCATCCCCGAGCCCCCAAGGCTCCCAGCCCGGAGCTCCGAGCCCCCGAGCCCCTGAACTCTCCAGCCCCGAGCTCCCTAGCCCCGAACCCCCGAGACTTCCAGCCCCGAGCTCCGAGTCCCCCGAGCCCCCGATCCCTCGAGCCTCTGAGTCCCCGCAATCCCGAGCTTTCATGCCCCGATCCCTTGAGGACCCCAGCCCCCAGCCTTTGAGCCCCCGAGCCCAAACCCCCAAGCCTGGAGGATAGAGGTGACAGTTTCCTGACTCCCTGAATAACTGCGATTTAAACTGTTGAAATAAGAAATCAGAGACAGTCCTGGGGCTGTGTGGATTCCCTCCCTCCCCTTGAGCATTTAAGGAAAGGTGGCCTTTCAAGTATTAAGCCTTTTATTTTTTTTATTTTTATTTTTAAGATTTTATTTACTTATTTGACAGAGAGAGTGAGAGAGGGAACACAAGCAGGGGGAGTGGGAGAGGGAGAAGCAGGCTTCCTGCCGAGCAGGGAGCCTGATGCGGGGCTCGATCCCAGGACCCCGGGATGATGACTCAAGCCGAAGGCAGACGCTTAACGACTGAGCCACCCAGGTGCCCCACATTAAGCCTTTTAGAAATCAAAGATTACCAGGGGTGCAGATTACATTGACTGGCATTTGGGATCTCAGAGCTGGTGGAGGTGACAAGACCCCACTTGAGTCATCCTCTAAGGCCTCTTTTTCACTAAGCCGCTGTCCTGCCTGTGCCCTGCCCAGCCCCATCTCAGCAAAGCCTATCACCCCCACCCCTGATGTCTGATCACCCCCATTAGCTGATTAAGTTCTTCATCCCTCAAGTAGAGTCTGATCATCTTAGCTTGCCTTTAGCAAGACCCCCTACCCATGATGTCTCAGTACTTTTCCATCCACTGGCTCCCAACTCTGCTCCTTGGCTGTAAACCCCTCTTGTCCTCTTTGTATTTGGAGTCGAAGCCAACCTCTCTCCCCTATTGCAATAGTCTTGAATAAAGTCTTCCCTACTGTTTTAAGAAGTGTCAGAATAATGTTTTCTTTCTTTCTTTTTTTTTTTTTTAAAGATTTCATTTATTTATTTGAGTGAGAGAGAATGAGAGATAGCACGAGAGGGAAGAGGGTCAGAGGGAGAAGCAGACTCCCCACTGAGCAGGGAGCCTGATGTGGGACTCCATCCCGGGACTCCAGGATCATGACCTGAGCTGAAGGCAGTCGCTTAACCAACTGAGCCACCCAGGCGCCCCAGAATAATGTTTTCTTGAACAGAGGTCAGACAGAGGTTGCTTTCCCAGGGCCCCTGAGACACGTGGAGGACCAGCCTGGACAAGGGCCCTGTGGCATGGCGAGAGGTGAGCTGTAGTGGGAGAGAGCAGAATTTTACTGCAGGATCCCCCATCTCACTCAGCCCTGCTGCTTGTATTACAAAGACAACGTGGGGGATCCCACAAAGAGGAAAGCCTTCCCACAGTAGTTTAACAATTGCTGCTGCTTCGGGTTCTGTCCTTGTGCCGTGTTTTGCCGGGCCACGGCATGCCACGAGTGGTCTATCAGTCAGATTCTTGCCCTGAGCGCTCTCACCGAGGCATGGGTGAGGTGGCCCCCAAAATGGTGTGTGAGTCTCCTCAGGCAACAGAGAACTTTGGTGTTCTTTGAGGAGAAAGAAGGCTCACAAACAGTGGCAGTGAGAGCTCTCAAACGGACAGTGGCTTTAGTAGCAGCCCCTGGGGACCTGTCCAGATCTCAGGGCAGGACAGACACCTCTCATGCGGGAATCCTGCAGTCACAAGAAGCCAGGGTTTGGGTAGTGGCCTGCAGGGGCACTGTGGGTCCATCCCATGGAAGAAACAGTTCAGGAATAGGATGGCCGGGAGGCTGGGGAATGAGGGAGGGTGCTCAGGGTGGCCATGGTTGAGTCAGTGTAAAATTTGGGAGCATAGGGGGGTTTCAGAGCAGTGCATTCTGAGTTCTTAGCCTTCAAGCAGGCAGAGAATGATCTAACCAATGAGGCTCGACCTAAGAGAAAGGCAGACACGAGCTCAGTCTCACTGAGAGTGGAAGGAAGTTTCCAGGAGGCCCAGGCTATGGGAGCTTGCAGAGGGCTTCTGGCTGTCCCAACCTGAGAGCCACCAGGTGACAGGGATAAAGCAGGGGCTGCCAGGAGCTGTGAAGAGCAGGCTGGGCCAAGAGGTGGTGTAGAAGCATCCAGAGAGTCTGCCCAAGCTGTGGATGACGGTGCCACCAGCAGACAGAAGCAGGCATCTGCAGAAATTCGTTCTGGGGAAGACTGAGCAGGTTTGTGATGGGGCATTGTATGTCGTGGCTGTGGGCCGGTGGCTGACGGGAAGGGGGCTTGGGAGTTGCTGGCCCTGCTGGACCCCACCTGGCTGAGATGGCCCCTCCCCCTCCTACCTGGACCGGTATGGTCCAGGCAAAAGGACCAGTCCAGGTGGGGTGTGAGCCATGCCAGGGAGGGCTGTGGGACAGACCCCAGCTCTCAGGACAGGGCTGCACCTGGAGGGCTTTCTGTAGGTGATGGGCGTGATGGGGGAAAGAGGTGTGAAGACTCTGCGGGTCTGCCTGGAGTAGGTCAAGGCGCTCGGGTTCAGGTGTGTGGATCTCCCTGCACCAATCACTGGGGAACAGGAGCACTTGTCCCTGAGTCCAGGCAGCCTCTGGCAGGAACCCACTCAGCCGAAGGGGAGGAGTGGCACCTGTCGGGCACCCACATGGGGGGAAGGGGGACAGCTGTGCTCCTAGCTCTCTAGCCTCTGGGGGCCTCTGCAGCCCTACCACCTCTGTTCGGCTGTTCAAGAGGGTGGCCGGGGTGTGAGCCAGTTGAAGGTCCTGGTGACTCAGGTGACACTTGTAAGGTGAGGATTCTTTGGTAAGTTAGGCGTGGTAGTTTGGGTCGTGTCACTGTGCAATGCCAGGAGTCCCTTCCCTGTGTAGCTCTAGGCAGGACTTGACTCCAGGACATTCGCATGCACTTTGGAAGGTGGCAGAGGAGTAGTGAAGGCCATCCTGGGCAGAAATGGAGAGAGCTGGACAGATGCAGAAGGGTGGGGTTGGGGGGACAGGGGTCTTCCCTTCCCGACAGCAGCCCTACCCACCACCAGCATCCCTTGTTGCAAATTCACGGTGGCAGGGGTCTGAAGGGGCCACTGCCTTTCACGGACCTCTCCATCCGCCCCCCTTGTGGTCCCGCTTGCCTAACTGGACCTTCCCAGCTCCCCAGCTCCCCTGCAAGCTCCCTCCTTGGCACCTGCCTCCCTGCCTGGGGAGGGCTGCTTATTGCCCCCCCTCCCTCACATTTCTCCAGCTTCTCCTGGATTTCCACGTCCCCAGCTCCCTTCCACAACTGTGTACAGTGGTAACACTGTTCATATTTCACCATGCTCCTTTTGCTCCTTGGAATGAACCCTGGCAAGCAGAAGTGCAACACAAACTTGCTTAAACCAAAAATGAAACATTGGTTCACGTGACTGAGAAGCCAAGGGGCTTGGTTTCAGGCGTGGCTGGATCCAGGGTCTCAGTCTTCTTTACTGGGGCCCAGGGTCTCCTCACCCTCCCAGCCTTCAGTTGCCCACATCGGACGCTGTCTACTCTCTGCTCGAGTCCAGAAGCAAGAAAGCTTTTCCCCAGTGACTCCGGTGCACGTTTGGGGATTGGCCTGGCACCGCCCCATGCCACCGTGAACCTGGTGCTGCGGCCGGCTCTGAGAGGCCGGGACTGCCGGCCGGAGCCACATGCCCGAGGTGGGTGGTGGGAGGGAGGGAGGGGAGATGACCCAGAAGAACATCCGAGAAAAAGAGAACCCACTGCTTCGGCTGCTGGTTGCTGTGGGAAAGATGACAGCCCGCACACACCTTGCGTTTGGCTGGCCACCACATCTTTCCTCGTGTCCCTGCGCACACTTCGTTATTCCTGGGGAAACTCCCCGCTCTCAGCCGTCTGTCTGGGGCTCTGCTCATAGGGTGGCCACGTGGCTGGTGCCCTGGGGTTGTCTTGGTGGCCCCGGCTACAGGAGGACAGTCTCCTTTCTTCTAGTTCTAGCCAAGCTGAGTCCCAAACTTCATTTCCGCCAGTACCGTGTGCCAGACCCACGTGGCCCCCCCAGAACTCCCGCAAGCTGCCTTTCTGGTACCGACAGCGTCAGCACCTCCTCCTTAGGGCTCTTGGAAGCCCTGGGGCTGGAGGGGGGAGGGGAGGGGCTTCCAGGGGCTTGGGAGTGCGGTCATCCCTCTACCTGGGTCCTGGGCCCCTGGGCAGTTCTGGGGATGGTGCTTCTCCAGCAGGGGTGATCGGGACCCAGGGAAGGGGCCTGCTCTCCCCCCTACAGCCTGCCGGCTCAGCCCTCATCCGGGGCCTGCCCCACAGCAGGCAGGGACTTAGGCGCAGGGGAAAGTTTGGGGCGCTTGGGCTGGACAGTGGGGCAGAGGGGAAGGTCCTGGGGTGGGGGGCGAACATCCTCCAGGCGTGAGCTCCGCTTCTCCAATGACAGCAGAAACTGTCACTAGCTGACAAGGGGACCCCAGGGTGCACAGTCCCCAGGCCTGCCTGCCCTCCTCCCGCCAGGTTCTCCTTGAGGAACTTGTCCCCTCTGTGTTTCAGCCACTCTGCCTCCAGACTGCTCTCAGCGGAGACCCTCCCAGGAACCGGCCCTCTGCAGGGGAGCTGCCCCG